CCTAAGTGAACTGAGTTCTAGAAAATACCAAACATTACACAGGAAAAGATCCCCGAGGCTCCCCTCCATAACTACACATAACAAAATGCACAACAGAGGGGAGAGAACAAGTAGGAAACCTCTGGATGGGTTTAGTAGTGTCCTGTGCTGGCAGCAGGGGACAGAACTTAGAGGAGCGCACCTGCCTGAGAAGTCTTGACGGTGGCTCTCCACCCGGTGCAGGTGTGGATCACGGATGGAGCGTGGCGAGGGATGAGAGATGAGTGACCGCGAAGGCCACAGGGTCTCCCAAGTCCTCCGCACCGGCTGTGCAGCGCTGGGCGGGCCCAGGAGGCCGTCCCAGGAGGCCGTCGGAGGCCCCAGGCTCTCAGCTGCAGGAGGCTCCAGTGTGGAGGGAAACGAGGACTGCAGTGCTGAAAACCCTGCACTGGTCCTGTTAAAAGCTGAGGACGGGAAAGGAGGGAACAAAACCCCTGCAAGTCCAACCGCACCATGGCCGAAGTCCGCCCGCACCTGCAGCGCGCGTGGCCGGAGTCCGCCCGGATGGCAGAGATCTCCTGTGCCACAGAAAACAAGTCCGACGAGTGACAAAGGGCACCCCAGTCCCAGGAGCCAGGGCCCTGAATGCAGGGGCCGGGAGCGTGGGGAGAGCCCCAGCTTCTCCTCGAGGTGGCCGGGTTCAGATCCCCGACCTCTCCGGGCGCTCAGATCCTCAGCACTGCTGAAGGCACACGGATGCCACCCGCAGAACTGTGGATTCTGGTGGTGAAGCAGGGCGAGCAAGGGCTCCCACGGACGCCCAGCCGGCATGGAGGCCACCTAGCCAGGGTGCTTAGGAGAGGAAGCCTCCTCTGCACAGAGCTGCCGTCTGACTGCCCCAGACAGAGACCGAGATCCTAAAAGCCGCCTGGGCCTGGGGCGTGTGTGTGTGGGGAGGAGGGGGGACACACCCATAAGCATTAAGCTGGCTCCTGACTGTTCCTGGTGGTCGATGGAGGCTGGAAGACAGTGGAGATGTCTTTCTGGTAATGAAGGAGAACTCTGTCGGTGTAGGGATTTTGTATCCAGCAAAAATCGTTCTCAGAGTGAATGCAAAAGTGAAGACAGGCAGAGAGAGGCCGAGATGATTTGGAGCCTGTGGCCCTGCACTGGGAAATTCAAAAGGAAGGCATCTCCGCAGAAAGAGAGAAGCTGGTCTTCAATGAGTGAGCAAAGAGGACCTGAGGGGAAGAGAGAGCATACAGCAAATATAAAGAGCGTTCTAGAAAACATCACCAGAGCAAAAGCTTGGGAGGGGAGGAAGTGAAATCCCAAGGCAACATTCTAAAATCGACCGACCCTCTTACAGTAGGGTCCTAACTACAGACAGACTGGGGTGTGTTGCAGGTGTGCGCGTCAGTTTCTAGACTAACCCCTGAAACTGGTTTCATTTCTACTGTTACTGTGACAAATTCCCACTGACCTAGTGGCTCAAACGACATAGTCTACTGACTTAGGATTCTAGATGGCAAGAAGATCAAAATGAGTTTGGTGGAGCGAAATTATTATTTAAAAAGTAATGAAAAACAATCCCATTCTCAGAGAGACTTTTCCAGGAGAGAGGAAAGGGCTATTTTCCAATTTATGGTGGAAGCTCTGAGACCCTGCTCTTCAACTGAGAGACATGGGAAGACCACAGACCAACACCTCCTCAACACAGGCGCCAAGCTTCTAAACACATTAGCAATTAAAACTAGCAACATGAAATGATATCTGGGCCAAGCAGAGTTTACTTCATGAACTCAATTTTGGAGTACATTCAGAAACTAGTCACTGTAATTCACCACACTAACAAAATGATCATCTGAATAAATTCAGGGGAAGAAACTTTGGAAAGAATCAATGCCCGTTCAAAGTAAATATCACGGGAAACATGAATAGAAAAATTGAAAAACACTTTATCAAGCCATGAGAGGGAGTCTACAAAAACATACAGTCGATTTCACACACGACTGTGAGAAACAATGTTCCAATATGAGAAATCAGACAAAGATATCTGCTCCTGTTACTTTATTTAACATTGTGCCCAAGTTTCCAGCAATTTTAATGAGGCCAGGAAAAGAAGTAAAAGACGTGGAGATTGGGCAAAAAGAATCAAAGTGTATGTTCACAGGTGACACGATTTCCTACCTGTGACACACTCAGCCATCTATAACCTGACTTCTTAATGTAGTAAGTGAGTTTAGGAAGGCCACAATATCATCCAAAAAGGAACACTTCCCTGTATTCTGGCAATAAAAAGAGGAAAGAAGAAGTTTCAAGTCCACCCTAACAGTAAGGATGACACAAGGAATGAAGCTAGTGAGAGGCGGCCCAGCGGTCTGCCCTGGGAGCTGCAGGACTGGCCAGGGCAGGGGAAGCCCTGGGGGGTGAGTGCGGTCCTTGCTGGCCCTGGGCAGTGCTGGGAGACAGTCCCACCAGGGACCTGCCTGCCAAGTTTGCCCAGCCAAAGGCCTGCAAGCCCACTTCAGTCCCATTAACTGAGCGTTTTCGTGGGGTCCCGCGGGAGCCGGAGCGCCGGCAGCTCTTGTCTGAAACCGTGTGTAACACAAAGGGGAAAGGGGAGCGGGGCTTCCGATCAACACGATCAGACAAACCCGAAGCCGCAGGGCTGTCGGCGGATTCTCTGTGCAGGAGCCTGTGTGGCCCGTGAAGACGGCGCGAGGGTCCTGCAGGTCCTGCAGGCCGAGCTGGGCTCCCGAGGGTGAAGAAAGCGCCCACGCCGGGCCCCCGTGGTTCACACTAGGGGTTCAGCCGCGCCGAGGACAGCATGCCCAGCAACCGCCCTGAGATCCTGAGTCTCAGAGGAGCCTTCTGCGAAGGTCCTGGCGGTTGGAGGGCCACACTGGGCTCCACTGGGCTGTTTGCATTCACCAGCTTACTGTCACTACCTGGTTCAAAGGGTGACCAAACACTGAATGGACACTTCTAATAGCAGCGCTGCTGAAGGCCAGACCGAGAAGACGAAGGGCCCACCCACGGGGTGCGGTTCTTAGGACTAGCACGAGCAGAAGTCACCCTTGACACCCCACAGGCAACGAAGTCTACACTGCTGTCCTCGCCTACCCCGAGACTCAGGAGGGCGCACAGCGCAGGACCGGGGCTGTTTGGACGCTGCACGTTGCACACACGGCACTATCGACGGCCGACCACGACCCTACCTGAGGGAAGGCCGCGAATGGAGCCTGAACCCGAGCAGGCTTGGGTGGAGGTGCGCGAGGCGCCTCGTCCACGCCCTGGCGCCCGCGGCGCACGGAGATTCCTGCAGAACCTGCAGCTCCTGCGGACCCGAGCGCCTGGCTACAGCCCCTCGGCGCCACCCAGCGGCAGACACTGCGAACTGGGACCAGAAAATGTGCAGTCGAGTGGCCCGGGGCGCGCCATTCCAGAAAGCTGCTCTTGGCACTAGCTGGAGCTGCCCAGCGACCAAGGCCATGAAGGATCTCGAAACCTGAAGTACCCAGAGTGTCTTGGGTAACGTCAAACTCTCAGGTCGGTGCTCCGAGGAGTGCTCGAGCAAAGGAAACGGCCACGCAGGGCCATGCTCCGGGCGAGCCCAGAGGAATGGAGAGGTCCTTGGCTCCCACGGGCGCTCCTCTTTCCTCCACCGCCCCAGGGGAACCGCCTAAGGAGCCCCGGCCCCTCCCCACGCGGGCAGTGGCCCTCCACGGGCCGCCTGGATCAGGGACGGCAGTTCCTAGTTGACGGACAGCACCTGCCCGGAAGGCCACGCCCTGTCTGCTACTGACGGAGGATTCTGATGGAGGAGGCCGGAACGCTCCGCTCCGTGGGCTGGGTGGTGGAGGAAAGGGGCATGGGGACGTGGGTGCGCCCTGGCCCTGCGGCCGAGCCTGGCTGTGGGACGTGGGCCGCGAGGGACAGTCCTGACTGCTGCGGGCTCCGCTAAAACTCAGAGACAGAGCTGCACGAGGTGGGCGCGCCTGTGCAATCCCTGCGACTCCGGAGGCTGAGGCCGGAGGATCGAAGGTTCAAGGCCAGCCTGGGCGACTCAAGGAGACCTCAGCTCAAAAGAAAAATATAAACAAGGGCTGAGGATGTGGCTCAGTGTAGAGCGCCCCTGGGTCCAATCCCCAGCGCCGCACAACACGACCCCACCACATGGCCTCGGGGAAGGTTGGCAAGGGAAGGCATAGGAAGGCCGAGGACAGCCTCCCGTCCCAGTCTCCTTCCGGGGCTGGGTGCTGAAGCTTTTATAAAAGAAGAGGAGGCTCGAGGACAGGCGGAAACACACACGAAGAGTCAGCGGGCTGTCAATCGGGAGGGGCAGTCCTCGTTTGCTCTGGAGCTACAGGCCAGCGGCACCGGCCCTCCCGCGGTCCTCGGTGTGAGGAGGTCCATGGGGAAAAGCCGTCGCAGGAGGTTTCAGAGAGGGTGGGTTCAGGGGCAGGGGCAGTGGGAGCAGACTGTTAACAGGCTGGCCATGGGCCTGCTGTGGTTCACACGCGGGGCTTTGTCCCTCCAAAACTCCTGTCCGGGCTGTCCTCAGTGTGGCAGAGGGTGGCCTTAGAGGGCATGACCTTAGGGTGAGTGGTTAGGCGGTGGGCAGAGCTCTCAGAGCTGTCAGCGCCCTGGGGTGGGAGTGAGGGAGTGAGGGAGGGCCTGGTCACTGCCAGAGCTCCCCACCCACTCCTCCATAGCCGGTCCCCCTTCACTCCTGCTATGTGAGGCCCTGGCCGCCTTAGGACAGAGTCCCTTGCCGGAAGTCACTGACTGATCTTGACCCGCAATAGCCTCTTTTCCTTATCAGTGACCCAGACACAGGCATTCTGCCTTGGCCACTGCACCTGGATGGAGAGGTCACCTGGGAGCCTGCTGGCCCTGCCGGCAGGACGTACTGGTGTCCAGCAGAAGAGCCCCCTCCAGGACTGGAAGGCGGTTGGAACCAGGGAGGGGTGTTTGGGGCACTCATTTGAGGGGCTCACCAGGGTCGGCGGGCGAGGGGGTGCGGGACCACAGCAGGGTAGGGGAAGGGCCTGGACGTGTTCCTCGGGTATCTGCATCAGAGACATGGTGAGAAGGGCGGCAGGAGCCCCCGAGGAAGGTCCTGCCAGAGCAGCGCAGAGGCCTGTGGGCCACGGCCAGTCACTCCAGGACAGGTGCGTGCTCTGCCTCGCGGTCCTCGTGGGGGTGCGCCCCTTGTGGCCAGTGGGCTGGGATGCAGCTGTCCTTCCATCTGCACCAAGGAGTGGCCTTCTCCCAGCCAAGGAGCACGCTTTCTTTTTCTCCGTGTGCCACCATGGCAGAGCCCACAGGAGCAGCAGCGCGGCAGAGGAGGCCTGGCAGAGGAGGCGCTGGTGGCCATGGTGGGGCCTGGCTGAGTGAGTGCTCCCAGCTTACAGGGCGAGAGGGTCCCGTAGATGGATTCCTCCTCTTCTGGGGTCTGGAGAAGGGGATAATGCTGGGACTGTGACAGCTCCACCCTTTATCTCCGCAGCTTCCCACCTCTGTGTGCTGCCAGGGTCCTGGATGAGAGCCACAGCTGCAGGGTGGGAAGCAGGGACAGTCCCCAGCTTCCACGGCTGCACCACCTCTATGCTGGGGTGCGGGGTGCTGGGTGCTGGGTGGGCTGTGCCTACACTCTGGAAACACTGGAATGCCCGGGAGCCGCTGGGCTGCCCCATGGTGTGACAGCCAGCTGGCTTCATGCCTGCCACCCTCCTGGTGGGCACGGGAGTGGGCCTGGGGAGGCACAGGCTCAGCTGAGGATGCCCCTGCCCTGGGGCCAGCGCGGTGGTGGCACTTTCATCCCCTTCAAGGGCTAAAGCTCAACCAATGCAGAGGAGGAGGAGGAGGCTATCTATGGGTCACACAATGAGGGAGACCCAGACGGCTTCAAGAGCAAAACAGGAGACATTGTCAGGACCCCTGGGCAAGCAGATGCTAGCAAGTGCTGACCTCAGGGAAGAAAACTAACCAACCAGACAGTTATGGAGAGGGTGTCTTCATCCCGAGGAAGAATGTCCTCCTGCTGCAGATCAGGCATGGCCAGAGGCCACTAACTTCTCCCAGGGCAACTCCATGAGTTGATTTCCTTAACTCTGGGTCCTGTGACTCAGAGGGCAAATGGATGTCAGAGCTATGGTTAGCTTAGGTGGACTGGTGCTCTCCCTGGGAGCTGGGGACAGGTGCCCGGCCCTGAATTGCAGGCCTCAGTGCCCCAGATCTGGTGCCTTCTGCTCCTCAGAAGTGGTCAGTGAGGTGAAGAGACAGACGCGGAGTGGGAGAACCCACCTGGAGGACAGCAGACCTCCAGCAACACGTTCGACGGCATAAACTAGGAACTCCTGCAGACCAACAAGAGATGCAGGGAACCTGCCAAGAACAAGCAAAGATCTGAGCGGGCACATCACAGGGACGGTCAGCTGGGATGCGAACAGGTGCCCAATTTGATTAGCATCTGGAGAAACACACACCGAAAACCCAAGAAGATACCCCAGTGGACAAGCACGGAAAGGGTGAAGTCCCTCCCCACTGCCGTGAATCCGTGCTGTGTTGTCTGTGCTGCTGAATAGGATTCCATCCAGAGGTGAGCCGAGATTTGCTGCTTTGCTTATGGTTGAAGGATGAGGAGTGGAGTAACAGCCTTGGGAGTGGAGGAACAGCTGCTGTACATTTAACTTTACAAGTTTATAAGAAACACTGAGCTGCTTTTCTGAGTGAATGGCCACTGTGTCCACACCAGCAGTGTGGGAGAGCGCCCATGGCCACACATCCTGGCCAGCATTGGGAGCTGCCCGAAGCTGCCGGGTGTTCTGATGGGTGTGGGGCGGCTCTTCGTGGCTTGACTTGCACCCCCTGGTGGCCACCTGTGATTTGCATCTCTCCAGGTGTGTGGTTCTGTCACCTGCCGGTCTCAGCTGGGCAGTCCCTTGCTCTGCCCATTGGCCTTGGCCTTGCAGGAGTGGGGAGACACTGGCAAGTCAGAGCATCACCTATGAGAATGACAGCCCTCCCCGTCTGTGTCCCCACTCCCATCTGGGCTCAGTGGTTCTCCAAAAAGTGCACCTCCCATTTCTTCTGCCACCAGAAAACCACTTTACAGAATGTCTGCAAGGCAGGTCTGTTGGAGAGAAGGTGCCTGCAGAAGTGGTCTGTCTCTAGGCTGGGGCGTCCCCCTCCCCTGGACCTGAGGGAGAAGCCAGAAGAAGTATGGTCAGGACGGGGCAGTGTGGCCAGAGAAAGTGTGGCAGGGAAGGAGGCTTGGCCAAAGGCCCATGCACCTGGACAGGGTGCTGGGTGGTCAGCGCTGAAGCTAGCTGGCTGCATCTTACCAGGCCACGCGGGGCTGCCCCTCAGCCAGATGCCGTCTAGCACGTGGGAGTCCTGATAATTGGCAGTGTGGGGCGGTTACCCTCATGGCGGGGTAATTGGACCCTGGAGTCCCCACATCTGTGCATGAGGGAAGGAAGCCAACAGCCTTCCTCCCCAATGCCTCCTTAAGCAGCCATCGCTCAGAGTAGGGCCAGCTGCTCTCAGGCCTGGCCGGCCAGTCAGGGAGTCAGTGGGCAGGGAGAAGTCACCTTACGGCTGTGCCGCTGGAGGACGGCCACAGAGACTCCTGCTGCTCTCCAAGGTAGGTGCCACAGGGTCTCTCCCTCTCAGTGAAGTGACCGCCGGCCCCTGGCCCAATGGCACCATGCCCCACCCCATGCCCTGCCCCTGCCGTGCTCCACACGCTCCCTCTGCACAGAGACCCACCCGCACTGTCCCGGCCTCCACCTCCACAGCCCTGACCTGCTTGCCCTGGGAGAGCCTCCTCCGGCTCGCCCCTTCCTGCTGACACCCCTGCTCCCCTCCCGCTCCTCAGCCCTCTGCTGATGTGGGACCATCTGTCCTGCAGGGTGGACACCGAGGACTAGCAGGAAGCAGGTCCAGAGCGGCTCTCCCCTAAAAAGTCTCTGGAGCTTGAGTCTGGAAATTCCTCAGTCTTCACAGCGTGGGTGGTACATGTCATTGGGTAAGTTGCGAGGACTCTTTTTTTTTTTTAAGTTGTAGATGGACAAATACCTTGATTTTGTTTATTCACTTTTATGCGGTGCTGAGGATCGAACCCAGTGCCCCGCACATGCTAGACGCGTGCTCTACTGCTGAGCCACAGCCCAACCCAATGATCACTCTCTGTCCCATATTTTTAGGCTAGACAGAGGTCCCACAAGTCTTTACCACAGGAACAGAAGTGACAATTCTTGTGCCTCATCAAGGTTGTGGGCAAATTCGGCTTTTGCAAGACAGAGAACTTAGACCTTAGAGAAAACAGGAAGTGTCAAACCGCACTGAGCTCTTTGCAGACATTTTTGCTGATATTCTGTTAATAAAAACAATTATGGTGAGGGTCTCTGGAGTAGCTGAATTATGACTCTTTGGTGGAGGAGGGGGTGCCAAAGGGGCACCACTACACTGATTGTCCCATCTCTGGCAAGAGCAAAAGTGACCCTGTGTCCTCTTTCCAACTGGGCAGTTTGAGGCTGCAAGAAATGCACAGGACACGAAGGAGCCCTGAGAACAGCCCCCCTAACCCCACGTGAGCTGGAGGACCCGAACAGGGACATTCAAAGCAGGTCACCCTCCTGACCCATCCTGGGCCTGGCCAGCTCCTGCGCTGACTCCCTCAGGTCTCTGTGGCCTGCGTGTGCTGAGAACCCCAGCTCAGCCTGCCAGCAGTCCAGGCAGAGGCCACCTCTGTCCAGCAGCCCTGCAGAGACCCTCCACCCTCAGGCCAGGTGGCACTCCAGGCAGTGCACAGGACTTTCTGGGAGAGGTGGAGTGTGATGGGCAGGGGACATTCTGTTTCCAAAGCCCCCACTTCCAGGCCTCCTGTGGCCACCCCTCCTGTCAGGTCCTTCCCCAGGGCAGGGGCCCGGGGCTGGCGCGTTCACCAGGCAGCTGCTGGGAACTGACCCCTAGAGCACATTCTGCAAGTCTCTCATGGCTGCGGAACTTGGGACCCTTGCCTTTCCATGGTGCTTGCGACAGCACCGAGGTCAGAAGCTTCCAGATGCATTGTCTAGCCGCCCTGCAAGGTAGCAGAAAGACAGAGTGGGCACTTCCTGGGCGAGGGAGATACCCAGAGACTCCAGGCCGTCACTGCGTTCATCTGAGTACCCGCTCCTGCGGGCTCCCTGTCACCTGTCCTACCTCCTGCTCTCTCCCCTAAAGTGCAGTTCTGTCCCAACCTCTCTGGTCAGTGTCCTCACTGTGGTCACCAAGGGCTCCCTTCAGTCCTGTGTCCCTGACCTCATGGGGCAGAGCCCCACCCGCGCCTCACCTGGACCACCCTCCAGGGATGGCCTCTGCCTTGGACCATCCCTGCCAGCCCCTCCCTGCTGGCCCCAGAGGGGAACTTCTCCACCTCTGTCCTTGTCCCCTTGGTCCTGACACTGTGCTCGGCCAGTCTCACCCACGTCCTGCTGTCATGGAGATTTACTTCTAGGGAGTTGGCCACATGTCACTGCGACTGCCGGGTTTCTGTTCTCACGACTAAAAGGCTCAGGGGTCACTCCAGGTAAACTGGGCTGACTGGGCTGCACGAAATAACCACCCAAGAGACACAAATACCTTTTTCTTTGGGGTCGCTGTGACGGATCCTCTGACCTTAAGGGTCCACAGGAAGAGAGAGAGAGAGAGCACTGTGCTGACCCCTTTTATTGAGGAGAAGCTATTCAAATGAGGCAAGGGGTCAGGTTTCAGGGGTTGAGTCTATCTTCATGATGTCCACTGTCAGCAGGTTGACTGACACCTGGGTAGGCCACACCCAAGGGCAGAGCAAGAGGAGGGGACACACACAAGGCACTTCCATGGAAGATTCTATCCTAAACAGGGCAAGGGGTTATATTACAAAGGAACAGGTGAGCATAGCTTCACCATGGGGCTGTAGCAAGACACACCCATTTCTGTGACTGAGCGCCTCAGCACCCAGCTGAGGAGTGTAACTCAGTCACCCATAAGGTTGGCCTTCCACATATTCCCCCTTTCTTAATATAAAAAAAGAATGTAACTGGGAAATTTTCTTTCAGTCACTTGGCTCTTGGTCCAAGGTCATCACAATCTGCTATTGAAACACAAAAAGAATTAGTAGAAAACATTATCTTCATAACAGTCAACACAATAATCTGCATGATTATTACCTTGCCAAATACTCATCAGAAGATTTTTAATCTTTTCCCAATTTTATTGGGAAGCATTGTGTTTGGCCACAGTAACAGACATTTTCATTGCCATGGCATTTAGGCCTCTCCATAAACCATAGGGCAAAGGGCTCACGCACATTATTCACTACATTGTCTTCTAGAACATCATTACTTAGTTCTCATCCTTCCATCAGCACTTATCTGACCATGAAGGAAGTTGGATGTAATTTAAGTCAAACATTAAGAAAATCTATATATTGTAAGTTTTAAGACATAGCCACAAAGGCCAAAATTGAACAAGCAAGGAATAATATTTAAAGTAGCCACTTTAGGGATTATGAGATCAGCAGTTTGGCTAGGTCTGGTTAATAGACATGCACCTGTTTCAAAGCCTGAATATTAACTTCAGCATATTATAGTTCTGAAATATTAGCTGGCAATAATTAATGAGGCAATAAGTTGTATTTTTATAGGCTACAGGATATTTATCATTTTTTCTCTTCACTCTCATATTTAAGGAGTTAATTAGGTCTGTCAGTAATACAAATACCCTTAGAAAAATTATTTTAATAATCTTTCCAACAATTGTCCATAAAGGTAAATGTAGTCTTAGTCACTAAAGTCCAGCGTAATTGGCTGGCGTGGGTTTTTTTATCTGCTGTCTAGCATAAATTTCTGTCACTGGTGTGGTCAATTTGTTGCTCCGCTATTTGGCTACCTCAGTCCCGGGAGCTGGTGATAACTGGCTGGTGACAAACCTCAAGTCAATGTCCAGTAGCTCAGTTTCTTTTTGGAATGTACACAACTGTTATAGGGTTTGAGTGGGGCGTGCCTGTCAATCTACATAAGCAAGATAATATCCATAAGCCAATCATCTTCTGCCTAGTGTAACCATACTGTGAGGAAACTCTATGTGCTCGTAGCTGTTAGTTGCAACTGAAGGCTTTTCTAACATTTTCTCCTCTTCTACTAATTTTATTGTCAAAGGAGAACGCTGATGAGAAAAGAAAGGAAAAGAAAAAGCATAGAAAAAATGAGAACCAAGAAGGAGAAAAGCGTCCAGACATGGCCCATTCCTGTAGCTGCATTGGTCTCCTGCTGTGGTGAGCAGGCAGTCACTGTTGACCAGGTCTCTGTCACTAGGGTTCTGATCTGAGCTGGATGTGGGGAGCAAAGCAGCCATGGGGCAGGAGACCTCTCTCAGAAGGGGAGAAGAATTAGGCCTTTGCACCAGTGGGGGGTGAGGTTCTTTGCCTCACCTCTGTTGGCCCCCAAATTTTCTCCTGATGGCCCCTCTGCGACTGTGCCTGTCTTAGGTTGTCCCTCCCTTGAGGAATCTTACCCGTCACTGGCTCACCAGCCATTCTCCGGGGCCAAACAGGGTGATGTGGAGTGTGCATGGCATCGTCCCCAAGAGGGCTCTCTGTCTCCTTGATAGATAATGCCCCCGTGGCCTCCTCGCCAGCATTTACCCTAGGATCAGCAAACTCAGGTTTCTTCTCCATGGAGGGCCCAGCTCACAGCACTGGGCTGGTGGGGCTGCGTTCAGGAAGGAAGGAGACAGGCCATAGACAGACAGACAGTAATATAGTGACAAAGCTGAGAGACAGATGAAGAGGAGATCCCTCATACAGAACTGGCCCTTAATTGGTGTTACTCACATCTGGTCCATAGCCGCTATCCATACGGATGCAGAACAATCCGTTATTTCAACACTGTCTTTTTCTCAAAAGATACTTCCAGACAGTCTGTTTACCATAGAATCAATATATAGGTAAACTGACCATTACAGTCAGGACAAGTAATCTAGTTCCATGGGTGGACTTTCCAGTCCACACTGCAAGACACATTAAAGGTGGGCCTGGGAAATGGGTCCATACAAGTCTTTTCATAATTTTTATTTACCTGACAAGCTCGTGGAGCTGCATGGCTATAAACTCTGTAGCTGGAAAGTGACCTTCCTGGGCCAGGTTTCTCAGTCATTATCATGATGACTGGTTTAAACTCTCCTTTGATATCAGATTTAACTTACTGAATCATGTTCAGTAACATTAAGACTCTCAATATTACAATTTAAGAAAAAACTTTTAAAGTATTTTGTAAAATCTAGTGTCTCTCTGGGATCCTGTATTCCCCCTTTTCCTTATTTAATAAAATTGAGTAAAGGCTTGGCATAAGTCATAGTATTATTAGTTTAAGTTATAGATAATAGTACAAGTATTTAAATGACTAAGAATAGATTTACCTTTTATTGATTATTAAAATTTTTTGATATAGACTAGTTGATCCATCCTAACAATTTAGAAAGAATCCTCAATCTTTTTGAGAGATTATCCTTTAAATAGGCATCTCTTGATTGCCTTTAAAAAATATGATTAAGGTTATTTTTTGTGTAGGGAGCAGTGTATAAATCTTACTGTATTTTTTATGGACAATAGATCTAGTCAGAGAACTTATATAATATCAATGAATTTTTTTTAAGTTTGTAAACTTTATTGTTTAAAATTAATATATAACTTTAATTTGGAGAAAATTAGTCTTAATAAAATGTTTTTTTTAAATTTTATAATTATCTAACAAACAAAATATGTAAAAATTAGTATCTCATTGTCTTAGAATTAATCAATTTTAGTCTCTAAGGACAATTATTAAAATCGAGATTTAAGTTAGTAGTTCAATATACTTAATGTTTAATCAACAATGTGAATTTATTTACCAAAACTAATCTTTGTCTTAAACAGTAAGAATTATTAGGCAATAAGGATCTTACTTTAAGGAAATAAACTTACATTTTAATAGGTTGCTTATCATGTCAAAATATGGACAGAATCTTAGCTCACATTAGTATAGTTAAATTAGGAAATAACCTGAAATATCCTTAAATTAATTATAGTCAGTTTAGTATATATAAATATCTTTTTAAATCTTTCTAACTTTTTACATCATCTGTTTAGATAACAATATAAAAATCTTTTTTACTTAGGAAAATACTTTTATCATTGAAATATGAATATAAAGACCTTGTTTTACCCAAAGATGATTTCTTTCTTCTTTTTAGGATCCATGTGTGCTTTTTCTTTGTTGAAGCATCTTTTTCTTTTAGAAATTTTTTTTTTGGTTATACTTTGGAACAATTTCTGAAAACCTTATAATCCATAAACAAATTATTGTACTTTGATAAGAAATATCAATGAAAATATAGTTAA